GATAAACATCACTTCCGGAAGCGCATGAAAATGTTTTATTGTGTCACAAATACTATGTAAGTATGTCTTCAATAAACATTTGCCCTCGGATCTTCACAATGTATGTTATGAATTAAGAAAATATCAAATCAAGCAACAATTCAATGTTGTAATATTCATTTAAAACATTAAGTAACCCCGACGTTTCCAATTTTCGGTAGCACTTTTTCCTAGCAAGAAATTTTCTTAAAGTTATTTTCTTCTCAATTCTTTTTGATAAAAATATATGTCTTTATTTCATGTTTGTCCCTCCATGCCTGCCGTTGTTTTTATATATTTCATTTTTGTCGCTGTTTCAGCCGAAAATCCTTGTGGTAATTCATAATAAAGACGCACGAAAAGAGCAATATCCGACGCACATGCGAAGATATAGTGATTTAACAGATTATACTCTAATAAATACAATACCAAGACTAGTTTTGAGAAACCTTTAACCCATCTTCAGTGGTACAAGCAACATTATTACCAACCAAACATATCTAAAACGTTAACAAAGGAACATTTAGTACAATGACTATTTAAAAAAATTACTTATTGATTTTAGTGAAAAGTAATATCAGGGTACGTGGTCATGTGGTACAGAAATAAGGTGTCAACATTCAACAACTGCATAAATAAGAGAAGCCTTTTTTCAGTTACCTCTGGGGTGGGGGTGGGAGGGACAGGAAGTAAATAAAATTCATGAGTGTGCTGCATTTTACATTGTTTTGGTTAATTTATGTGTGTCATAGAACATTTTTTTAGTAATTTTGTAAAATCTAATCTTTTCTAAAGTATTTAATTATAGATCCTTTATTTTGAATGTGTGCAAAAATTTAAACATTTTGTTTTGGGGTCAAAAAGTGGTTATATTCCAATAAGTGAGAGGCCAATGTGGAATTTTCAAATGGTTTATTTTCCAAACTCTAATGTGTTCATTAACTCTATGAATAAATTTTCTTCCAGGCCTGGACCACTTAAGCTGCATTACAATCATTACAATTTATATTAGAAAACATACACTCATTTTTAATCTTGATTTTTTATAGATCTTTGTTTCGAGAAAGTATGGTGATAATTTCTTATTGGTTTTGTAACAGATTTTAAATACAAATTTTTTGAGATGTTGATCTATTCCGTTAGGACATATTACCAATAAAGGGGAAACAAATGAAGCATTTTTTATGTTTTCATCAAAAAATCTATATTATTTTCTTTAGATGAAATAAGTTTGTCTTATTATTTGGAATTGTGTCCATTTTTAACTGCTAAAGGTTTCAATGATAGTGATTTCTTTGTAAAATTCATAATATATTTTGTGACATGCGGACCTGAAACATTCATGAACATGCAAAAGTGCAATGCAGCAAGTTTGGGTTTTTAAAGTGTGAAATTGGAATCTGAAGGGTTGACCAAGTAAGTTTGAGTGGGTTTTCTGAAAATGTTTAATTCACTGTTTATTGTTTTGTACTCCTATGGCCAGTCCAAACACTTAATGGTTTGGGTTCGATTCCCATTTCTATTTTAAATGAATTATTGGAATGTAATGAAATCATAAATTGCATGAAATAGGTTTATTTGCCTGAGGTACCTGCCCATAAGCAAATGATATCGACATATCTCTAATAATAAATAATCCATCTTTATCTGAGGGTTAGCATTATCAAATAGAACAGATTCAAAATTAAACAGCTCGCAAAAGATGGGATACAGATTTGAAACCCAACGCAGACCTTCGCTTGGTTGTATAATTCGTTCAATTGAATTTAAAAAAAGTTATATTCAATGCAGACATCAAAGAAGTTTGATTAGTTCTGATTTTTATTAGCATTGCATATTAGATATTCATAATTAATTTAATGCTTATAACTCTTTGCTCCTCAAGAGGAGGAATGTTGTAAATAAATTATTTTCAATCAAAAGAAACTATTTTAAAGTTCAAAAGAACATGACATATCTTTATTTTGGTCAGTTGTAGATCAAAAAGAATTTGTAAAGTTTTACATTGTCGTTGAAATTAGTCCTGCTTGGTACTTAATGGATAATAAATTTGGAAAGTGTATAAATGCTAGAATTAATATAACCAACAACTGGTCTGATAGGTAGGCTTTTGTTTTACATAGTTTTATCAACCCATATTTTAGGACATAGTGGGATGCATGACCAGGAGTGATTTAAGTTTGTAATTTGTTTATATTAAAATTACTAGATAAAAAGAGTGTTTCTAACTATTCAATTGTATGAAAGGGTGAGGTCCTTTTTAAGGTTCAAACACTTTCATCTCTAAAGATGATTCTACTTTATCGATATAGTCATTCTGGTTTAAGATAACTGTTGTATCTGTTTACTGTTTGTATTCTGCTTTACTAATAGTTAACTTGTTATCTTTTTTACTTTCTTCACTAAGTTTTACTAGTTTTGTTGAAATTACCATTACGGTTAGGTTTTTGAGTTTATAAGCTTAGAATTCTGGTCCAATTCAATTTGGAATGAATATCTTTAGTTTGTGAATGAAGGACCTTCAAGAACTTAACTGCTAAATTGCTTGCTAATGTAAGAAACTCCCATGAGTGGCTAAGCGCTAAGCCCATTTGGGTTTTTCTCAAGACGGAGTGTAACGGAGGTATTGAAAAGAAGCACTTTTTTCCCGTATCAAGGGACTCAAAATATATTTCCATTATAATCAGAAATCGATTTTTCTGCTGTATTACATACCTTTCTCTTTCTACAACGTACAACACTCACACACACACAACACACACACACACACACACCACACACACACACACACATCTATATATTATATATATATATATATATATATATATATATATATTATAACAAAACCGCATTCAAGACATTTATCCACTTCGGTAATCACGGACTTACAATACCATTTTTTCTGCCAAACCCTCGCCGAAAAAACGCTTTCAGCATTACATAATTTTCTCGCATACTATGTATGCAGTATGCCGAGAAAGTAAAACGGTTCGCTAGGCTGTAACGGGAGGGTTATTTCGTCACATCCGCCGTTGCGGGACTTGCTTCGCGGGCGTGTGCCGGCTGCTCCCTCGGGAGGGTCCTCCCGAAGGCTACGGGTGATTAGGGGCTTTGCGGCGCTGCGCGTTTATGGCCTGGAGCGGAGCGCGCGCCGTCAACTTGGGGTTCGAACACGCTCCACCAGGATCGGTGCTCTCTGCCCCGGCACGTACAACGAGATTGCGGTCGCTTCAATGTCCCGTCAGGACTACTACGTGACACCCCGATGCCTTCTTCATTTTGTCTAAATGTCTGACGTCTGAACCAACAGTCGTTGTTGTAATGAAGTAATGAATTGTGTTTTTTTACTTAAGTTTTAAAGTTTCTACTTGTTTCAGTGGGGTTTTTTAACATTATTTCCCCTCTGATGTATTTGTTCGCGTTTGTGCGGAAGAAAAATAACTGGACAAACGACACACTCTATCTACCGGTTTAAATATTCTTTATATTATACATTTTAACTTTCATGTTTGGCAAACGAAACTCTTTAAGAGTACTAAACAGCGGATGTTTGTAAATAACAAAAAGAATGTTTCTAACGTATGTATCTAACCCCAGATATTCGCGTTATTTGTTGTCGGTGTTGTGTGAGTGCAACATGTCGGTTGTGTTGTGTGGTGTGGAGGTGGGTGGGAGGCAGGGTTTTGTGAGTGCGACATGTCGGTTGTGTGTTGTGGAGTGGGGTGTGAGGGAGGGTTTTCTGTATGCGACATGTCGGTTGTGAGATGTGGACAGCAGTGGGAGTGAGGTAGTTGTACGTTTGTTCGTGTTGGTTGTAGGTGAGCGGGAGTAATTTAAGTATGCGTTTGTTTTGTATCGTAATGGGAGATGTTTTTTAAATTTGTGATTGTTATAGGTGGTGGTTGTTTGTGACGATGTGGTGTTTTTATGCGTTTGGTTACACGTGAAAATTGTTTTTGCTCTATACTGGGTTTTGGGAGTAGTGATACCAACATGGATTTTTTGGAAACTAGAACAGTGATCATTCAATTATCTTTTCGAAAAAAATGTTCTAAATATTTTTTAACTAATTTTTGTGAATTTGTATTTTAATATTAATTGTACGTTGTTTAGTATACTACTTTTATTAATTTGTTTTAGATATATTTTCAGATGCGGGAAATTGCAGCTATATTAACTTTTTTTCCTTCAAATTTTCAGCTTTCTCATTGGTTTTAAATTGATATTCTTAATGTGAATTGCAGAGTTTGGAATGACACGTTTTGATTTTTTTAATCCTTGCAGGAAATTTTAAATACTTAGAAACGTTTTATATTTTCTTGATAAATTGTGAAGTGTTTTCTGTGAACTGACTTCGTTTCTTGTATTTTATCGGTTATGCACTGGTGTACAATTTTGGTCTTCATTATATATGGCTGCTTAGTTGTCATTTTTAATTTTTAAAAATTATGTTGAATTGTTTCTTTTCGTGTTGTGCGATGAATTAAACTTGTTCTTCGAAGTTGATAAGTATTTAATTTTATGGACTACTCCATTCATAAAATGGAGACCAATAGTGTTTAAGAATACGGACGATATTGACAAATCAAAGCAGTAATTCACAGAAGAATAGTTTATCAATTTTTTTATTTTACCTCCTGGCCGCCCAGTTATTAGTTGTGATTCGTCCATTTTGGAGACGGTATGTATCAATTTCTTTTATTTACATCTAACCGCTCTTTTCCATGGGTTCAGGGATACACCATGTAATTGCGCAACCAATTCATTAACTGTATAATGGTAATGAAAATAGCATTGTTCGTACGACATCCAATTTTGATTGTGTATTCAATTATTGTGTATTTAAGACTCATTTCATCAAATAAACCCCTAATATTCGTGTTTTTATATACGTGCATTTATTTTTAAATATTTATACCCATGTGTACCCTTTATGCAATCCTTACTTATACAGTTTAACCTCCTTTATTTTAACATTGCAGACGGATTTGCATAGTAAACAAAGAATGCTGTTATCAACGTAGTAATTCGAATCATAAAATGTGTAAACCTTGTAGATAAACATGCGTACAGAGTATTAATAAACCAGCTTCCCTCCTTTAATTCGAAAAGGAGTCATTCTAAATACCAACCATGTGTTGGAAATTTTCAGATAAATCCAATCCTCGCATGGAAAGTCGGGATTTATCAATAATTTACAAAACACTTGATATTACTTACGATAATGTAAGTATATCGATGTGGTATACTTTCTACGATGTGATTTTATTTTCATGTTTGGTAAGATTTTATTTGTCTTTAATTGTAAGTGAAGAAAATGCAAAATAAAATGTCTAAATGTTTTTGAAATCTCATTTTCGATATGCTCGGAAATGCTTTTTGAAGATTAGAAGCTGTTCCTGAATATATAAAAGTATTGGCGTTTTCAAGTTTTCTGGATGTTTTAGAACTTAAATTTTTAGTTGTGTTCATTTGTGATTGATTTTTAACTGTTTTTAACTTTAATTTTGCGAACTTATGTATGCGTTTTGTCTTAAGTTTTGAAAAATCATCGAACTTAACAACTTCATTGTTTTCGTGTTTAGTCTGATCATTCATACATTATAATTGAATAAATCATTAATTCATCAAAAATATTTTCAGTGCGAGCTAATTAGAACTTGTGTAAAAGAATGAAATGTTAAACACTTTGTCTTTACCAGTTTGTATTGGGTAAGTATTTAAGAAGATTGTATGAATTTCTAAGTCTCTTTAGTAAATTGAATGTTTGAAGTATTATGTAGTTACATTTGTTCTCAAAGACCAATGCAAGTGGTGTAAAAAAAATTTATGCAAGGATGGAGTGTATTTTTTAATGTTTCATATCAGAAGCTTTCTCGTTTTTCTAAGAAACTTTTTTCCTAAGCTATTTTTTTCTTGTCGTACACTAGCAAGGATTGTGGTACTTATCATGTGGATTTCGATATTTGTTACATATTTTACTTCTTTAATTTGAAAAATATTTGACTTGACTGTATTGCTTTGTTTACTTATTTTATTTACCAATTTTGTGGCGGAATGGTTTTTGGTTTTCGAATTTTTAGTGGATCTTGAATGTGTTTTTTCATAATCTGAATAGCCTGAGTTTCATATAAGGTTACTTTTAGGTAATTGACGAATGTATTGTACTGAATATTACTTTTCTTCAGAGCCATAGGCCTACTGGGGAAGGAGGGCTCTCTAAACATACTCCTAACGAGTGTTCTGCCGAACCGCAAGGTCACTTGGAAGACGGCATTGTATTACGGTGAGTAATATAAATGATTAAGACTGATTTTTGTATGCCATTATCAAGATGTGTACGTAGTTTTGAATTGCCGTTTTGTAGCGTGTGTGTCTGTCTGTGTGTGTATTTGCAAAAATAGGCTTCTGTATAAGGGAGAAACCTTAATATGATTTGGCTGAATGATATAGAAATGGTAGCTGAAGGTGTTGGTTGAGATAGGCCTACGGGTTCGGAAGCTCGATTGCGATTTATTTTTTGTCAGCATTTCAAATTAGAATCCACGCATCCAATTAAATATATTAAATTTTCTTTATCTTAAGATCGATTTGTGTTTTATTATTTAATACTTTTACATTATTCATCTTGTATAATGGTTTTAAGTCTGCACTTAATTATCAATTAACTAATTGCATTGGTGGTTTCTGGTTAATGATAAAATAGCTATATACTGGAGACTCCTCTCCCAAAGCTATCGCCAATGTTGCAGCGCTTGTACAATCTCCAGGGATGCTGCCTGCATCATAGACTTGCCGACGCAGTCGCCACCGAAACCTTTTCATCGCACTCTGTCGCAATTATTTTCAATGTTTTTCTGCCATTACAGTTGGTTCGGTGGGTGGGTGGCTCGCACATTGTCCCTAATTGTTAGGCAAAACTAGTATTATAAGTTCTACATTCTGTCAGTAACTGACTCTTATATGTAATATTGTGTAAAAGTGGAAATAAGCCTCTATCTTCATCTCAAATTTCAGTCGCAATCATCATTAATATAATCACCGCCATCACCAAAGTACCAGCGCAACTCCCGCCGCCGCCGCCGCCGCCGCCCGAGTTTGTTGGCCGAGCCGCCTCCCGGGAGAGTGCTTTATGACGCCGGGAACGGAACAGAGGATCGAACCTTGGAGGGGCCCCAAGCCGACAAATACCTCGACGACACTATCGTCAAGACACTTGGTGCACAGGCAGCTGCTTTAAAAGCTGGGAAGTGAACGCTGCTTTTGAAGAAACAGTTCTGCCCAAAACGTGCTGATTCTGTGCTCACGACAGGTAATCACTCCAGATACTAGATTTTTTCCTATAAACACAATTCTTTAAAATTTATCATTTATCATTTCAAGAAACAGCTACGAAAATTTAAAAATATAATTTGTTTTCGTGTTTATAAAATCGTTATTTATTCGTATTTATTGGTAGACAACGGTTAGATGGGCACAGCGTTCATGAAGTTAAAAAAAGCTGCTCACTTGTCTTTAAAATCCTGGGCGGCTCTTGAGAATAGATGTAATACGGGCGTGTTAGTGCTGTAGACGTATAAAAAGCCTACCAAACACTTTCACTTTTACCGCACTCGCTTACGATGCCATATTACGTTCTTCTGTTTTTAATTCCTTTCTTTCCCAGGAATGTTTCAGATTTGATTTAAAGAATCAGATAGGGATTTCACAAGATTTGTTATTTGAAAAATATAATACAAAATGATTATATTTTGTTTGCTTTTATTAAACATTTAAAAAATGTTTCTTTTCTTCAAATGTGGAAATGATTTAAAGGTGATCTGCTTACACGTTGATTTCTACGTGAAAGACGAATCATATTAAATTACTCTAACGTTTCCAGTGGGCAACAAGTCCATGAACAATGCAGAAATGAACGATGCTGAAATTAACGAATTAGAGAATGATACAAAGACGTCGAATATTCACTTTCGTCAATCACATTTGTCTCAAAACATCACTGTTGAGGAGTAGGCAGAAGTGGAGGCTTCGAAGGCGACTGAAATGACACTCTGTAGAGAGTTGCCGGAAGGAGAATCGGAGGGCTGGGGGTGTCGGGGAGCTCGGAGGCAAAGGCGGCGGCGGCAGCGACATTGGCGTCGGGGCGTTCGGCGGCGGCGGTAGCGGTCGATAAGAAAGGCGGCGGCGTCTAAGTGGCGTCCCACGCGTGAAGCCCCGCACGCCGCCGCCAGCCTTGCGCCTGCGCGGCTAATGAGCCTGGCAGGGGGGAGGGGAGGGGGAAGACGCGAGGGCGGTGGCGTAGCGATGGGCGCAGTCGGTGACAACGAGGCGACTCTGTGAGGAGTTGTGGGCGGCGAACTCGTTGAATAAGAGCAATACAAAAATCTCGAAATTTTTGCATCTTCTTAAAGTGAGACAGTTCATTTCTCGGTTGAATCAGATGGCTTTCCAAATTGAATAGGTCCAATACATTGTAAAGGCGAGGTGTAGGGTGGCGTCGGATCTCACGTTGGTGGGGCGGGGGGCTCTCCACTCCCTCAAATCTTTACCTCTTAGGATGTATGCCGTGCACTTATAAACCTGAAAACAATATCAGTTGACGCTGTATTAAGTAATCGAAGTGTCCGTGCACTGAAGAGTATAACCCATCCATTTTAGAGACCATTTCTTCACAAAGAATAAACTACTTCAAAGTAGTTTATTTTAAACTGAAGACAAAGTAATAATTGGAGGCCCCATGCAAACATTAATATTTTACCCATCGGTCTCCTAATCTCAAGTCTCCAAAAAAAGAAACCATATTTTTTTCATCATCAGGTATTAATTTTACAGTTACAATTTTCTTTCACAATGTTCCCAGGTCACTGTTATAACTCTCGCTGCTCATTTGTTTCATTTAGATCTAAGAATACTGGATTACAATTAGTACATCGGAAACATTCCACGTGCTGAACTTACGGAAATGAATAGCCAGGGGCGGTTTTAACAAAATGAAGACGAGCGTAAACTGCAACAAGAGTCCTACTTCAATACTTCGCCTTAGATGTAAGGCACTTGTCCCAGAAACGAAAGCAAAAGTTCAGAGCGCATAGAAATCTCTTCAGAAATTATAAAGCCTAAGGAGAAAAATCCGAGAGTAATCCTTAAATTTAATTCCGGAATCGTTGAAGCGTTCTTGCAACGGAGAGAAGGGAGAGGGCGCATTTAAACGAAAGGCAAGAGCCATGGAAACAGAGCCTTCCGGAATTCCGAGAACAAATTGGAAGAATAAAAAGCAGGTCTTGGGGAAACAGCGCTTAACTAGTAATTGAGACTGATGTTCACCACACTTTGCTATCACGTTTGAGGTATTTTGTTTCTTGCGAACTTCTTTCTCGACTAATTTGATATGCTTGTTTTTTAAGGCAACCTTAATACGCTAATTATAAGCTAATTAAAAAATTATCAAGAAATTCTCGTTAATAAATTTTTCTTGAACATGAGACAGCTTATTACTAATATATTAAGTTTAAATGTACCTGCTTGAAAGTTAATGTTGCACTTGGCTGTCGATAAGCAATATGCAAAAAATACGAAAAGGGGATTAGAGCCAAATATAATCACTCAATATACCGTGCTCAATATACCTCAAACTGTGCATGCACTAGTTTTCTAAAATCTCCGCAATTATTTTCTCCCAAAGAAGCATGTAATTCTAGGAGGAAAGGTTTATATTAGACGGCAACAACTTGTAAATCTCGAAAACATGACTTAAGAGATGAAAGTTGGTGAAGTGTTACGTTAATAAGATCAGATGTTCGAAAAAGAAGAAAGTTTTTACCTACGTGAGACCGAAAAACCTCCTGTATGGAAATACTGTGCGTCCAAGAAAGGTGATTGTAAACGAAACTCCACAAGTGTTCCTTCGCCTGAAAACGTTCAGTCCTTCCCTGCTGTTCACGCATATTGTATATGCGGAATAAAACGTTTCAAGGGCGAGTGCAGTGGCTTTTATATGTGGCGTCCACGTTAAGTTCTCATCTAAAATGACCTTGACACTTAACAGGTAGGACTAGTTCTTTGACTGGGGTAGCGGTCTTACAGTTCAATATTATAATCATTTCCGAGAAGTGCGCTCTTTATTTCTGGTACTAAAATTCTGGAAATACTTGACGTCAGGAGAAGGGATTTGCAATCTCTTCTCGCTAAT